TGCCCGAGGGCTAATTGCAGGAACAGAAGCAAACATTTGGTATAAAAACAGACAATTAGGCCACACCAATTTAATTTCTTGGTTAACGGATTCGCCACTTCATTTTTTCTGATTTGCAAATAAAAATAAAAATCCAGAATCAACTGCAAAATGCTCATATTTTGCCCTGAACAGTTGAAAACAGACCTTTTCATCCTAGTTGTTACAGTTATTCCATCTTTCAATGCAATGGTATCATTAAAAGTTCAAAATTCATTGTTTAAATTTTGAACCAGCTTGGTGTGTTGACTTCATGGCTCCTATCGTACCATTTTGGGTCCATAATACGATGCCTAGNATGCCTAGACCTGTTTTTATTTTTTTTTTTTTTCGCCGGCCCGCTCCATTATTTTTCTAGAAAAATCCTTTAACCAAGAAATTAAATTGGTGTGGCCTTAGTACACATAGAACTACTGATAACTACTAAGAAACTACTAGTAAAAACTACTGGGTTTGACTTCTTTTTTAATGCAATAAGTTGAATCAACCCTATCTGATAGCATATTGATAAGTGTGAGGCAAAAAATGTGCTAAGAAGTGGCAGTAAATATCAATATCAGGCAGATTTCCTCATTAACATATTGTCTCTTATGCCACCTTGAGATTGTAGAAGATGCCTAGGTAACATAAATATTGTATCTTAAACTAGAAAAGTAACATTTGCCAAGCAAATGCATAATGTTTACCTTCGGACATGGTCTGCTCTGTTAATTCTTACTCAAACACATTCACATACATGTACTACTAGTATATGGTGACAGGAGCAGAGCAGACCATGAAGTTTGCAACATTATGTAACCCAACACCAGTCACCATGGTGACAGACGTCAACAAATCATGTCATTGGCCAGGTCAGAGGTTAGTGTTTGGAACAGAAGAGGAGGAGGAAGAAACTGAGTAAAAACAATATGTTTTCCTTCTGTAAACATAATAACTATGCACTTTCCGACTGTAACAGTCTGCTTCAGGGTAAAATTACTGTAGGGAAATCATTGACACATCAGGCAAAACCACGACTGTGAGATATCTTATGGATCTGATACCAGACACTTGTTTTTGTTGCTTTTTAACTTCGGAAAGTGCATAGTCAGGGCTCGAAATACCCATTGGCGCACTGGCGCGGCGCCACCTGATTTTGCTTGGCGCCACTTATTCCTAAACTCAGGTGGCGCAGCGCGCCACCTATAATTTGCGTGGATCGAGCCGCTAATCGCATGGATCAGGCCCCATTGTCGGCACAATCTTGTGAATTGTCGATGAATTGTCGATCTCGCCATGACGCCACAAAGAAAACGTTCTCATTGGTAGAAAATCAGACACCTCGCTGGCGTTTCACAACACAATTTTCATGTAAACAACTCCGACTGTCCTTGTTTACATGCAAAGCGCGCCGATACAAAATCCTGCCGGCCGCCCGACCGACCGCATGCGACGCTAAGTTTTCGGCGGCTCGGCGGAAAAATAATCCATCCCCAGAAGAAATTTTACGCATGAAAATAACAACTACAACTTGTTTTCGTCGTTATATGAGTTTCTGAGGCCGTAAAATGTTAAAACGGTTGAAATTTGTCGGAAAAAACAGCTCGAAAGACAGAATGAAAATGGCCGACGCTGCTTCCAACAATGTGGTCAAAGGTGAAGATAGCATCCAAGCGTCCAAGATACATGTACTAGTATTACACGCATGAAAAAAATTTTTTCGGCAACGACAGAAATAAAAATTCACTCGTATTTTTAAAAGGTTAATTTGTAAACATTACCGTGAAATTTTCCGAATTTATTGGTTTCTAGTGTCAGAATATAATGTTGTTTCTATGAATGTGCGGTTGGATGCTGTGGGGGCTTTTACAATTGGGAGAATCAGATATTAAGAGCATGCTTTCTTTCTTTCTTACTTTCTTTATTGAGTGTCTCTAAATTTTTTTTTAGTATGAGTTTATAGACATAATCACATTTTTATTTGTTCAGCTGTGTCAATATGTGATTTTGTTTGGGAAATATGATTGGGTTAAAAAGTTTGGTATATATTAATTATGTCCGTAACACCTTAGGAATACTTGCTCCAAGTTCCAGGTAATAAGTACATGTACAATTTGTATCATGTATTTTTCACTTGTTGAACTTGTGGAAGCACCGTTGGCCCCCGGTTAGGGGTCATCCGGGGAACCTATGCCCAATTTTTTTTTAAATCAAGGGAGCTAATACCATTTTTTATTAGATTTTGAAGATTTGTCCGGGGGGTATGTTTATTCCGGGGGGTATGTTTATTTGGCAGATGAGAGTAACATTATCCTTGCGCAAACGGAGAACATGGCGCACGTAACACCACCCGCATAAGTGTGCCGCCATGTAGAGGCGTGGCATTCCCACGGCGGCAGCCCTGTGATGAAGTGATGTAAAGGTGGCATTCTTTATTAAAACGTTGTTTGAGAGCTTTTGTGTTCTTTACATTACTTTATTTTATAACATAAAACTTAAGTAGTTAACTAGAAGAAAACGTAATAGATATATTAGTAGCAGATTTGAAGAAAATGATAACTTGGAAGTGTTGCCACTTGAATACTGATGGCGCCACCTGGCTTTTGACTCAGGTGGCAACATGCGCCACCTGGCTGAAAATGGAGCTACAGGCTCCATTTTAATTTTTCCCTGAACATACTCTGCATGATTCAGCTCCCTATAGAGAAACTAATAGCTTTGGAGAATGGTGGAGATAACTGGAGATGGAAGAAAAAAACAGGCAAACATCTTTTGGGGGAATGCAAACCGTGTCCAATGAATTCAGAACCCCTAGCAGTTACTCCCCAGGCTTCAGTGATAGGGATCCCTCACAAAGCAATGTCGGAACGCATTGTTTCATGTTTTTAGCTTTGTAAAGGCATCCAATGCAATTTCAGAGCAGCAATGCAAAACATATTCTGGATGAGGAAATCTGTCTGGTATTGAAATTTGCTGCCATTTCGTAGGATATTGTCGTCATTTCATACATTGTACTTGAAGCGTTTGAAACAGCGCAAACCGTCAGTGGAGAAAACTGAAAGTTATTCCTACTTGAGAATGTATGAGCTGTCCAGAATAACTATCTCTTCAGGGGGTTTCAAACCGTGTCCAATTATTTCAGTGCCCCTGTAGACAGCCCAAGGCTCTGTATAATTAGTCCTGGAGGGGAATATAAAAAAGTATTCCTCTATGTGCAGTGTGAGATATGGAAAGTTGAATTAGATATTCCTTATGAAGTGCAAGATATGGAAAGTGGAAAGGAGAATGGAAAGTGGTCTTTGAATTTCATGCTATTCATGCCTTTGGCATGCAGTTGAAACTGTCAAAGAAGACAACACGGGAGACCAATAGAAGCTAGTCTATGTGGACACCTGTCACTATAGACAGGATTCTTAATTATAAATTGTGACTTGAAGAAACTTTTTAGATATTCCTCTACCTGCAGTGCAAGATATGGAAACTTTTAAGTTGAACTGAGGGTGGAAAATAGTCTTTGAATATCATACTATACATGCATTCAGCATACAGTCAAAACTGGCCAAGAAGACCAGTACCAATACATATAACAACTAATACAGGCTTCTGTATCTGTATAGCCGGTATAACTGCCCTTCGGCGTAACACACCAGCTTCTGTATCTGTATAGCCGGTATAACTGCCCTTCGGCGTAACACACCAGCTTTGCAGGCACGCAGCATAGCGGCAGCTGGCTACATTATGTCTTACCTTCAGATCTGTATCCAAATCAAGCTGTAAATTGAGTGATTTTCTGTTCCATCCAAAACTTAAGCTTGACCCTGAGCCCAGCAAAGCCAAGCAAATACTGACATCTTCATTCCATTACAGTTGACTTAACCCTGGCTTTGCCTTCCTGTTATCTGTTCAAATCTAACCACAGAACACATTAGAAAACCATTACAACATGTTAAGCCTCTAAAGAGGAAGCTATAATTATGCTTTAATGAACGTTTCTTTGGATCTCCCATGAGTGTACATGTATTTTAGTTGTGTAAACTTCCTTGTGCTTTTATCAGTACAAAAATATAACCACAGAACATGTTAGGGAAGCACTACAACGGGCATGCAGCAGAAGCCACCTCACAGTTCCACTGGCACAAGGGATCGTGGGAAAGGTCAAAGGTTAAAGCCCCTCAGAAGTAACAGCATGTAAAAGTACATACATGTATCCTATAGAAACATTGCAAACATTTTTAGTGGCAAAGAATCGTTTACATTAACTTTCACCTTAGACCACAATGTATAATGGCAGCAAATGTGCACTCAGAACTGTGAGATGGCTTTAATATTTATCATTTACAGACTGTGGTTCTTCTTCTCGGCACTCTTGGCATCTTCAGTCTCTTCATCATTAATCTACTGACTAACCACTTCCTTTCATCTATGCCTATGTATCACTATGCACAGCTTGTATGTTTGAGAAGAAAGCCCTCTCTCACAAAGCCTGTTCCAGCATGTTGTGCAACTGATGAAAGCTAACAAGAGCAAACTTCTTTGTGAAATATGGTACACTTAATAGCTAAATGAGATGTGATACATAAACAGTTCTTGTATGATTTTATCAGTGGTTGTGGGTATACATAATATGGTGTTACCATATACAAGAACTACCGGATACGTGTTCATGACAGCAGACTGTTCATATGTAGGAGAGACCAACAGGCATAGAAAAGTTAGATAGTGTTGATATTATGTATTGGGCCAGCGTTTAAGCCCATACAGTTTATATTGTATCAGAATCTGGGAAAAACTTCATGTGTTAGATCAATGGCTACTATGACACAATATGAAAAACATGTCCACTTCACTGCACATATCGTCACTCAATATAGTATACTGTACTTGCATGGCTTCTTCAAACTGCTTTACTTGCTTGTACCCTTCAGTCTGCCACTGCTTCTTGTTAGTGGCGTCAATGTCCCTGTTGTTTGGCTAGAGGACATGAGATTGAGGGGTCATGGGTTCGAATCCTTGCATTCTTGGCTAAACATTGTGTCCTTGGATAAATGGGTACCAAGGTTTATCAAGATATCTGACTTCAGTTGGGGAGGTAAAAGGCAGTGCTAGGAGAGGGTTGGGCTCTGCCTTCCAATACCGTGTCCAAAACATTTGCCTTTTACATTGTTGGACAACGTACTAGCTGCATGGAAACAGCCATGTGTGTGTAGTCTTTGTGTGTAAGTCTTGTGTTCCCATGTAGAAAGTTGTGTGTTATACGTTACAGGAACAGAAGGACAGTACGGTACAGGATCCCAAGCCAGATACTTCCACCTCACAGGTAACTCTCCCGGCCACATCCATGCATGCTTCACAATCACCAGTACTCACAATCACTGCTCTGCAATATCACCAGCCGATACTAACAAATCTTCTAGATATTCTAGCCATTGATCATTATTTGTATACGTATAATTTTGCACAGGTGCATAGAGTGGTATGTGTACATAGAACGGCTATTGACTAATCATGAGAAATCATTGATATATGATATAATGTTGATTGTGCAATGGATTATGACTGTCTGGTATATGTGTATAGTCTTAGGCTACCAGTATTGATTGTTCTCTTCCGATCAGAAAATAATTCTGGACTGTCAAATGGAAGAATGTTTTACTATGAGACAGGTGCCTTTTGTTTATGTCATTTCTTGAGCAAGTTCATAGAAATGAATAATATCTTTAACCAGGATAACTATAGGAGTAGATAGAAGAGAAACTACGGTATCTCTAACAGTCAACCAAAATGTGTTGTGTATCCCACATGTGACATTGTATAATTATGAAGACTCCATTCAGAAAGGGTGCTCCATTTTGTATGAAGCAAAGTTAAAAAATAATTAGATCACTGTCAGCTCTCAAACAGAGTATGTGCAATCAATGTCATTCGTACGACTGTAACTGCAAATATTACTTCAAATTCTAAAGCATGTGAAGCTGAGCGTAAGGGGAGGTGTGGTCGCCAATCCGCGGGTGGTGGAGATTCGCAAGGAGTGCCTCGGGTCCTTCAAGTACCGCCCGCAGCCCCTCCCCGAGGCCGTCTGCTACCTGGGCATGGGTGACAACGGGGAATCCGAAGCCAAGAAAAAACCCATCTGGTTGGGGAGGACTAAAGTCACGCCACTGGAAAACAAGCTGAACAGGCCCAAGTCTAAAAGTGTGGACGCCCTGCTCGAAGACTCCGATCCGAAGGTCACCATTACAAGAAGCGCAAGTCTAGAAGGGATAAGGTCTGCAGTGGAGAATTCTGCTCAATCTGATGGTGTTGGAGATACCGCGTTGACCAATCGCCTGAGTAGAAGCGTTGGGAGCGGACTGGATGAAACTGGTTCCGAGTCGCCGCCGCCGTCGTCATCAGCGGCGCCACAGCGAGTGGTGACGGGACTGGACGAGACGACAGGACAGGTGGATAGCATGGACACGGTTTGTACACGTCCCACAGAACCATTTACACCTGTTTTTAAACGCAGCTGGGATGGCAAGGATCAGGCTTAGGTGATTGTGTGCTGCGCTAGGTGTCACAGTGAATGATTCTTCTCAGACAACATTTCAATTCTCACAATGAAAAAACATAACAGCAAAATCAATTGACAATTCAATCATACATTGCTAGTGATTGCACTCGATATGTAATCACACATGTCATGTATCGTTCACAGTGTTTGAAAAGCCTTTGATCTTGAAGGAACTTGTCCCTGATTGGTGTATGTGTACAACATGATTATTGTCGGAACCAATCACGCGTGTGGTGCTATCGATTACATTAAAAATCATTGCAGCAGTTTGACTTAATTGTAAGGAGTCCTTGTAGTTCTTTAAACCTATTCAGATTCAATTACTTTGTTTTGATGTACAACAAATTACTGTTTCCAGGAACATGTATATTAATTAGCTTAGTAATTGATAGCCTGTATGCACTTGTTGTCCAATGTTGATCATGTACAAGTACAATGCAAAACTAATTTGCATTATTGAGGATTGTTGTCAAGAAAATTTTTATCCTTAACCTTCTCTTTGCTTAAGGCGTCTATATACACAAAATTTGTGTTGTTTGCAGAAAAAGTCACTAGGAAGAAGGTTAATTACACGGCCATATATATTTTAAACATTGTAGTTTACAACTGCATTTTATAAAACCGGCTCCACCAAAGGTGTCATCAATAATTCAAAAGACTAAATCAAATTCAGCAAGTTTGCTCTGCTGCCATTGAGATCTTTCAATATGTTGATTCCGTAGAACTCCTAATTCATGTAGTAGTCTGTTTGTCTATGAATATTTCAACTTTGTACAGTACTGTGCAATTGTTACTGCAGTATCATCTAACCTATCCAGGGAATTTCAATATGGTCTATAAGTCACTGTGTGAAGGTCATCTATCTAGCATGACTTCTTGTTTCTATTTCCAGAGATAAGTCAGTGCCTGCTTAATACAGGACAGATAGAAATTAGATTCCACAGTTGGGGACCTGTGTGGTGATACAATGTAGCCAGTATTCCAGTCTCCTTGGTCAGTGAGGCCAATTTTTTTATCCCCTAACTGCTTGATCTTTCTTATCATTTAGGTTCATCTTCTGGATTTCTAGATCACAGATGCAACGTCTCCAAGGCAGACAAGCATATGCTACTTCTTCCCCGGAGAGCCGAACTCTTGTTGTGCTTCCAGCTTGTTTTGTTACTGAATAAAGAGACTCTTTTTTTACAGCCAAGTGGTTTATTCAGCCGACATTTTAGTGCCCGTCTGTCACCTCCCTCAGGGCAAATCTGACTGGAACAGTGTCTACTATATATGCAGTCCCAAACATCAGATTTGCCCTGAACTGATTAAACCGCCTGGTTGTGTTAAAAGAGTCCCTTTATTCAGTGAATTACAAACCAAATGAAACTATTCAGGGAGCATGGTTTGTTGCCACCTCCTGCAGGAGTTCCTGGCAGTTGCGTCGCAGCGCCCGCAGCCCGACCCCATCACGGTGCCGTACCTGAGCCCGCTGGTGCTGCGCAAGGAGGTGGAGAACGTGCTGGAGAGCGAGGGCGACGGCTCACTCACCCGCGCCGACTTCGTGGACCAGCACCCCATCATCTACTGGAACCTGGTCTGGTACTTCCGCCGGCTGGACGTGCCCAGTAACCTCATCGGACTGGTGCTGTCTGCTGAGATCACCACCAAGGCTGCAGAGGTATGGACCTTCTCACAGATTGTCTAAAATTGATAAATAGAAAGTAGAAAGGTAACATTTGCAAAGCAAATGCATAATGTTGTACCCTCACAAATGGTCTGCTCAGATAATTCTTACTCACATTCATATATATGGTGACACTGGAGTCTAAATCCCTCATGCTATTAAGTTGCAACATGACAAAACCCAACACTAGTTACCATGGTGACATACATCTGGTTCAGGTCATTGACCTTCTGTTTTTGGAGAGGAGGAAGCAGAGCAAAAACAACATAATAAAGATATACACTACAGTGAATGTAAAACATATGCCTGTTTTTTCTCCATTGCTTTCCCCTGTACAGATCCCCAAGCAGTGGCTGTCAGCGGACAGTAAGCACGTGTGTGTGAAGGTTCTCTGGGACAACATCAACCTGCACGAAGAGCCAGGCCAGCCTCTGTACCTCATGTGGAATGCACATGGTACTAATATGAACTCTTTTACTATCAATGCTGAGGTCACATTTTCAAACAGACAGCTCTCAGGAACAAAAGTTACAATATAAAAAAGAAGAAAACACAAATACATTTTAGAAACTGACCATGAGTACTATTTGTGTTATAATCTTGATCTGAATTGTTAATTTTTTGTTGATGCTAACAACCTGACTGGGCCATGGTTTGGCAAGAAAGTTATTTAATTGCAATGCAGTGTACATGGGTTTGTGGAAAGCATAGCTCAAGAAACTGTGGATGGAACTTTATGATATTTGGTACAGTTTTGTATGTGGGTAGGTGACGGCAAAATTTGATCAAAATTGTGCATCACCTTGTGGCTTTCTACGGTAGTGCAGCATAACATTTGTTACTATAGTATTGTTTGTTCTAGACTTTCTATGGTCAGATAGCTCTTAGGCTTGAGAAGAGGTGGTGTAGGTTTGGGCCCTCTAGCAGCATTATTTAAAACTGCAGGGACCAATTTTGTCTCATGAGAATAACTCAAGAATGGATTGATAGATCATGGGTGGTGATTTTTGTTACGTAAATTGACATAACTGGATGCTAAATTATGCAAATCAAGTCTATAATTTTTGTCACCATTCTTATCTTAACATGCTCTTCAGTATAGGTACAGCAATGGAGTTAATTTCAAGATAATTTACATGTTCTCATATGTTATGTCTTTCTTTTTCTAATGGATTGTTTTGGTCCACAGCTCAAAAGTCGTCCTTGGCACATGCCCTGATCACAGAGGAGAAGCTGTCATCTAAGCGGTAAGTTATCAAACATAACACACACACACTCAGTACATTGTTCTGTGAAACATACACTGCACAAACTTGCATTAGGCCACAGCAAGTAATATTTATGGATGACATCCGCGCGCGCATTAATTTTTGCCTGATTTTGGAAAAAAAAAAATTTTTCTTGCCTTCTGACAGTGGTCACCATGCCGAAAATAGGCCAAGATGTCTGTTGCCATGCCTGAAGGTGGATGGCAGATAATTATGAAGAGAGGAGACGAGACAAGGCTCTGATTTTATGTTTTGTTTCTTACTTTGATGCAGTGATATGTGATGTTGGCTGTGTATATGTGATGTTCCCATTGAATCAAAACCATTTGTACAATGATTGAGTCAAAATTTCAAAATGTAAGAACCTTGTTTTTTTCGGCCCGCCTTGTTTTTTTTTTGCCCGCTCGCATTACATTTGGAATCTGTGGAGGATGTCATCCATAAAATTTACTTTCTGTGGCCTTACAATTACATTGTATGTTCAGCATGAGGTGCAATTTGCCATGTTGGTAATTATATACTAGTACTACATGTACTGTGACATTTCAGGTATTTATTGATTCTTTCATGTGCAATTGTATTAGATGGCAGTTAATGTGCTTTGAATGAACTTGTGTACTTTTGTCATGTTTGTATAGCGTTGCACTTTTTCAACAGGCAAAAGCATTTGATGAGGAATGATTGATAAGGAACACTGTAAATTGTGAAATATTTGTGGTGGTTTTACATTCATAGTTTTCTTAATCCTAAATCATTTTACCGTAAAAATTTTGTTTCTTTTGTTCTTAAAAATTCACACACGTGTGTGGAAGAGGTAAGAGGAGAGGTGATACATGTATTACCTTTTCTAGCTCTCACCCTGAAAAGATGTACATCATTAGAAATAATTGAACATACTGAAAAAAACATCAAGAACAAAATCAACCATAATGAAACCAAGGACATTATATACAGACATTATATATATTATATAATGTTCTTGATTAAACATAAATTAACTATATTAATAATGCACTATACCTTATTACATGACAGCAAATTGAATAGCTATTGAAGGTATAATTGCACAATGGTAATGTCATTTATCCATTTGATACCAGGTTCATGCAGTCCATTGTGACAAGTATCCAGAGTAATGACTTGCTGACTCCTATGAAGTACATGCTGCAGGAGTACCACAAACACAAGGCCACACAGGGGAGACACAGGTCAGGAAACATCCTGTAGTCCTGTAATAATTCATGGTTTACTGGCAAACATTACCCGGGCAATCACAGCCTTTTATAGTGCTGAATTGATGCAGGGTTTACAATCAGTTTACAATCACGTGAGAATCAACCAATAATCACAAACAATCACAAACAATCACATATACATGTACTTAGAACATATTAGCTCCACACACTTTTAGTGGAACTGTCGCAAGGGTTTGTGCAGCTGCCATTTGGCGCCACCAGGTGACTTTCCCCAACCGAAGTTAGGTATCCATTCACACCTGGGTGGAGTGAGGAAAGTCGTGTAAAGTGCCTTTCCCAAGGTCTTTTGCAACTGAAGGTCGAACCTGGTTCTCACCATTTCATTCGTGCATGCATGAATTTTCACCTTTTTCCAAAATAGGTTTTTGACCATACAAAGCAGCTGCAAATTGAGCAAATGTATGAAGTGAATTGAAAAAAAAATATTGGAAAACAATATAGCCATAGAATGCCATAGAATGCCAAAATCAATTCCAAAAGAAAAGGAGAAAATGTGAGGAAATCAAAATGAAGTGTCTATTACTAGTATTTGCCATACCATACTCTGTGTGTTCAGCCATCTTGTTGCATGTGTTATTGAAGACAGATCTTGCATGCCTTACAACATTATACTGATGGTAAAGTTGTCTTTGAACTCACTCCTAGTTTTCATGTTTCATCAATATTCTACAGGAGTATCTACAGAGAGATACTATATCTGTCCTTAGTATCTCTGGGAAGGGACAACATTGATCATGGTAAGCTTGCTTATTTTATAGTCAAATCTTCAGCACTGTTAGTTGTATGGTAAAAGTTCGCTACTGAGAATTTTATTTTAATCTTCTTTTCTTTTTCGAAAAACGGTTGCCTATCAAAATGACCAAATTACATTTTTGTTACTTTCCACTCCATGCATGTGGTATGTGCAGGTAGGATGACAGCACCATGTGAGTTTTGAAATGCACCTTACCTCCTACCATTCTTTACTATACCTTACTTCCTAACTTAAGGAAATAAAGTCTCTGTTGTCACATATGCCAAGCTGCCTGCTATTGTTGTTTGAGCTAATTTAACTGCACAAGGTATGAAAATTAATAGCAAAGAGCAAGCTTACATTTAGATGTACACATTTTATAAGAGGAAGTTTGGATTTAGTTTAGTTCTACCTCGTGTTTTGAAAGTCTACCACAGACTTTTTACAGATCCCATGGCATGCTGCGAGATGCTCAGTACTATGGCTAGAACATTGCAAACAACATCCTTACTTTGACGTGACCACACGTATGGTTTGCATGTCTGCCGTGTCTGATCCAGTGTATGAAAAGTATATTTGCCCCCTTCATTTCCCATAGTGCCCTGTATCTCCCAGCATGCAATTGGATCTGGAAAGGTCTATGTCAGCCTTTGTAAAAAACAAAATGGCTACATTTCACCTTTGACCAAGCGCAAACCACAAGTGTTCCGTACGAAACCATTCGTTATAGATCTCGGTCAAACATGCCTTCCTTTTTCTCACCCTGCACAGACGCTTTTGACCGCGAGTACAAGCTGGCATTCAGCCGCCTGTCGGAGGACCTGCAGGCCATGACACAAGAAGACGACAAACCGCCCAGCGCACGAACTCTGTGGTGTCGGCGCATCTTCAGCTCTCTCTACCTGTAGCTCAAGCTCCGCTTCATGATAACTTCTTCTACTTGTGTATAATCTTTACTACTTTTTATTTGCTGCTGGGGTTCAAAGTTTACTACCGATAAGATTTATCAATAATTGCCACCTGACTAGTTTACTTCTGCCAAGTGTTCTGTAAGAAAGGAACGTGTATATAGCTGTGAAAAAAAATGATACAGACATTTAAAGTGTCTTTGTTTGCAGTCCATGTTATATAGATACCTGGTCTTGCAAGTGAGTATAAGATTTTTGCTCTAGATGGCTCTACATGTATATTATGATGTTACCAATGATAGGAGCTATGGTTTTTCTGCATTTGTACAAGCAAACTTGTGGGGAATAGTTTAAGGAGTAAGGGATGCTCAGCACTGTGCAAGTAGATTTGTGGAACTCTGGTAGAAAGCAATGAACATTTAACAAAAGTAGAGGTACAACACACAAAGAAGTTTGTGGTCCTGTAATTCAAAGTGTTAGTTTACTGCATGTGGTTAGTTGGTACATATATTACAATTTATAACCTTAAAAAATTTCTTAACTTCTCATAGCCCACAAAGTGCAGATTTTGTGGGATTTGAGCTTCTCGTTTTGTTGAGCCTAAGGTAAGAAATTGGCACCATGGATAAGTAGCCTTCATTTGTGTGATAGCAAGAAACTTACAGATACAATATTTCTACTCAAGGCTGGCAAAACTCCAGCTGCATATTGGAAAGGTTAGATTAGCCTCTACCAGGCACAGCGGATCGCTGAAAAAATAGTACAAATTGGCCGAAATAAAGGAATAATATACCAGGGGAGGTAGCCAATTCGCGACCCGTGGGGTTGGATCTTCTCCAATTTCTACTATTTTTCCAGCGATCGGTGGTGCCTGGTAGAGGCTAAGGTTAGATGGCATCAGGACCTGATGTTGTGTCATTTACCTAGTAGTTACGCTAGCGGACACAAGATCAAGTGGTCATGGGTTCGATTCCTGGATGTACTTGGCCAGATGTTGTCACTCTCTCAAACTCTCTCAAAATGGCAGTACCAAAAGTCCATGTCCAATAATACCACACAGTGGTGGATTTTTAACAACCCATTTCCCCATAGCCTCAGATGGCTATGGGACTATCTTCATCTTTATTACCTTCGCCAAGAAGGTTATGTTTTCAGAGGCGTTTGTGTGTCTGTCTGTCTGTCTGTCTGTCTGTCTGTCTGTCTGTCTGTGACCACGATAACTCGAGAAGGCTTAAATGGATTGTCTTCATACTTGGTAGGTGGGTAGGTCTTGATGAGACCTCAAAATGATTAGATTTTGGGCCCCCTGGCGGCTTGCTGTGGTACTGCAGCTGAACTTCCGGTTTTGATATCTCGTGATCTGGACATGCTAGGGTCACGAAATTTGCATGGTAGGTAGGTCTTGTGCTGGGGAAGAAGTGACGTAGGTTTGGACCCCCTAGCGGCTTGCTCTGGAACTGCAGGGGCATTTCTTTAAAAATATTCAAAAGAGGATAACTCAAGAACCGGTTAACGGATCGTCATGATTTTTGGTATGTAGGTAGCTTAAGTGACGCTTGATATAATTATGCGACAATTATGCAAATCTAGATGTAATTTGCATAATTTATGAGGAAATTCTATGAATCAGCTGCATTACATTATAGGACTATTTAAGCTAGTGATATATGTAATTGAGAACAAGAGAAAAACAGGCAGATATTGATTATGTAAATTAACACTTAATTTGCATAATTAATGAGAAAATGTTATAATTCCATAATGGTAACTGCCTGGAATTTCATACTTGGGGTATTTGAAAGTTAAGTAAAGGTGAACATCATTAAACATAACTTATTCAAATGAGGACCTCATTTGCATAATTTATGAGGAAATGATAGAATGGCTTTCTTTGTTAAGATAAGGCTGTCTTTTGGTGGAGAATATGATCAAGTGATATAATTCACGCAAATGAGGATCCTATTTGCATAATCAGGAGGAATAATCTTTGTCAGTCATAAAGATTAACATCACTTGGCGAAGGTATGAGATCGTTGAACTCTAGTTTTATATGTGAACATGGTCTCCATACCACAGAAAACGCATGAACAATACTGCTTATTCAGACATCATTTGACGTTTCTTCACAAAGAACAATTTAGTATTACATCATGATCAAATCAAAATCCAGATTACAAGTTTTACTTGGGAAAATGTTTCAGAACAGTTTTGTGTATGTGTGACACTGCCTTATTCAGTACACAGTGATTTCTCCAGCTGGAAAGTTGTGAAAACTGAAAATCTCTTTTTGCTAATATTGAATCGCTTTTATTCACAAACGGTGGCCTGATGAGGACACTTGATAATTGGGATTTAAAGAAAAAAGTCAGCTTATCTTAGAATGATGTACATACACTGTAAAGAGGAAGCCACTTTGAATGTATGTACCATATGTGCTCATGACTTACACAGGTGTGATAGCTATCGTTGGGTGTATCTTTTTTATTGCTTTGAAGTATTGAAATGCATATGCATATGAGGTACTGACTTGTACTGTATCTGCTTCTGAAGGCTGGAGCTCTGTATGAGAAAATGTATGTACAATGTTGTCATTCTCTAATTTGAAAGAAAACTAAAGCAGCAGTGAAAAATGCTAATATCTGTTTGACTGCCACTTGGGCCTACATGTAACAGCTATTAAAAGATTTAAACCATTGCTGCCATAGCGTTACATTATAGATGGAAAAAAAACTCTATAATCCATAATACGCCATAGCATTGGATTGCTATGTACATGTGTTTGTACGTCATTTCCCTGGAAGCAAAGAAATTTACAAATGTTCTTTCTCTTACCAACAAACATTTACACATTCTACCAGTCACTCAATTGTTGTTTTTTTCATAATGTGCATGTTGCAAGTTATGCTGCATAAACATGTAGTTACGTTTTATCAATACCATACAGTTGATCAAATATCAGTGATAAAATCTATAGTACCATGTGGTTTTCCTTTCTTGTTTTTTGTTTTGTTTGTTCACAGTCACACATAGCTTCCACTTTATATTTACCAATGCAGTATTGGTATATTTATTTCCTGCAAAAATCATTGCTAACAACATTAGCATGGACATGTGTAACTTGTGTTACTTGTGTAGAGGATAAGAGCACAATTGTACAGATGGTCATTTGAGTAAAATTGGCTAGAATATTGCAGCTATGCTGGTTTGTGTTTTCTTTATTTGTATTGTTACATTCCGGTAGATCTACTATTATATAGTATATGTTGTGAATTACATTTGTACTAGCTATAGTATGACCTATGCATGTACATGTAATTTGTAGTTCTTGGGAGAAAATATGTTTAATTTTGCAACAGACATACATGTGCACATTGCAAAATATTCAGTCATTTTATAAAGGAACTTGAGAAAATTACCTTTTCGATTTATCAAATGTTCTACTTGAACCAAGGACATTGAATAGAAGCTCCTTGCTTGAACATGAACTGTTCATATCATACAATGGTGAGGTTGCTGACAACAGTGACAAGGTATTTGGAAAACAATTTAATTTTTTTAACAATCATATACATGTACACGCGCATTGAAGCCTGTGTAACAGTGCTAACTGACCATGCTAAATGGTCGTACTGTAAAAACCGAAAGGGGCGAGCAGGTCACAACCGGGAATCGAACCCGAGTTGTCCGCTTGGCGGTCACCAACGCTAACCACTACACTAAAAAGTCGCACGACCATTTTGCATGGTCAGTTAGCACTGTTACACTTGGTGTAACTATTGCTTTGCCGAATGATAAGTGCGCCATGGGCTACATTTTAGGCCTTGGCCGCAAGAAGTAATAGTATTGACACAACAAAAGTACAGCGACTGTCCTAAGGTCAATATATTGTATATTTGGCACACCATGGAGGTAGAAAAAATCTCTTCTACCTCCATGGGCACACGTTCCGGGTCATGAGTCGCGCTGTCGGTGCTCCACATTTATAATTGCAGTATATCATTTGTAATAGATCAAGGAGATTAATAGGGTATATCAATTATATCCTTGGATAAATAACTGAAGTGTCAGTGTTCGGTCACGCTTGTTAGCCGGATCAACGGCGGGTCACTCCACAGGGCGGCTGGTGGCACGTGCAGGTGTCCAGGGCTTGACCCTTTGCCTGTGCAACGTTCGCTAGACAATGTCCATAGCCTGTGGGAAGGCAGCCTGGATACCAGACACCGTCTCAATCGACGCAATAACGCAATACTCCCTTCGGCTGGGGGAAACCACAAGCCCCGTTCCCAGAGTTAGCACCTGGGGGTCTGATTTATCTTTCGAGCCGGTATGGCCCTTTCCCATTCAAACTTCTACAATTAATCCCTGCCCACAAGATAACTTGGGCCTCGTGTGCTATGGGTCTGGCATCCAGGCTAAATTTCCCAAATCCCACAAATTTTGAAAAAGTTGGGACTAATACGTCTTCCCTGGTTTACAAAAGAGAAGTCAAACCCTTAAAGACAATTACCATGTGCTATTATGTAGAATTTGGAGTTACGTGTATTTCATACCCTGTTTCAATGTTCTTTGGTATTTGGAATTAGCCTTCGGGCAGGAATTTGCAATAAACTTATCTAATTGATAAAATTGTCAGGATCGAGCCGAATAGATGGGCCTCAAGATCCGGCTTTAAATATATATCCTAAAGAAAAAGGCCTATTCGAGCAAGGAGATCTGCGGGGTTGTCTGGGGAAAATTTGAGCGGAGGAGCTAGCCTGTTGCCCCTGGCAACAGTCTGGCACCCAGTCCAGTAGTGGAAGGGCCGCTAGAAACGAAGAAGGGCGACAATCTGGCATTGCTGTTTCTTGTAATCAGACGCATTGAAAAGCCTTTACTACTGCACGAACTGAAAATCCACGAAGGACTTGAGACAGATTGTCCTTCATTATCATATGATACAACAGATAACAGTAACTTTCATGTACTTTCATTTTGATAAAATATTTATACATAACTTTGATGTAGGACTGAAGGTTATAAATACATCCGGGTTAGTTAACAATATTCATCTTACTGGATTAAGTGGATAATTACGGAGATAACTTCCGGACGTTTCAGTGCCATTTAAAGAACAGAAAGCCAGTCTTGTTTTGGTAGCGTAAGATTGTCCCCCACCACTCCTCTCTCTAACTGTTGTCATCCAATATTTGTCCCAAAGTCTACCGATTTAAAAACTTCTATAAGCGCTCCGTTTTTTAATTAAAGCGCCCGTCTTCAGTTCCGCCGCCTTACGTTCTTTTTGATAGTACCAAATCCCGCGTCACTCTGCCCTCTGTTCGGGTTAAGATATGGGTGGTAAAGACGGGCTTCACCCCTTTTACCCTATCTTGCGCCCCGAAATGTCCTTCTTTGAACCCTTCCTTCCAATACTCACATTTCCTCTTCTTCTTTTTCTTCTTTCCTTCTTTTCATCTGTCTTCCTACCCCTTTTGTTCTCTCCCTCGCCTCTCGCTGATTAACCTTGTAAACAATCGCAGATACCCCACTGCGTAAACACATGCATGCGTTCTTCACAGGTAAGTTTCTCTCGTCCTCTCAATGTGATAACAACAATCCTTATCGATACACATAAAACTGTGCCGCGTGTAGCGACTTTCCCATGGTGTAAGACGACTATACGCATAAAAGGCCGCGGATGTCGAGTCTACTTGTATAGAATGTGTACTACGTTGTAAACCAGGTCTCACCACATGGCATGCCTGCCAAATATGTACACTTAGTCTGCAGGTTTGTTGGTGTCGTTAGACTTAACGTGGCGAAGACAAGGTGAGATGTCCCTTCACTTGCTATGCGTTGACAATCTGACATCCTTGCCTGCCAGATGGTTGTCTGCTTATTAGCGTCATGGCAGCCTTCAACTGTGCAGATGGTAAGTCAGCCTCTAACACGATACACAAGGACTACGTCCTTAGTCCATGGACAATTTTCTTGCCCAACTGTACAATGTGTCGGTTTCGTCAGTGCCGCGTGACGTTGTACATATGCACATGTGCCGCATGCAAATGAAAAGTCTCACACAGTTACTCTGTCCTGTGACCAAAAGTAATCTCTATGACTAGTCGCTCTGAAAACCGGACTCAACTAGGAGATCTCTTTCGTTTATCAAAATTAGAGAAAACGGCGTCGGAATCTCTTCTAATGTTTATTTTCGCAAATGGTGCAGTTTGCA